CAGAGGAGGGAAGGGGCGGCCTCCTCCCCCAAAGGTTCTTTCGCAGAAGGGCCAAACCTCTCCGATGAAATCTGAACAAGTCCGGGCTGGGGGCAGAACAGGGCGCAGGAGAACGGAGGTGAACCGCGGCTAGAAGCAGCCAGATGACCTGGCCGAAAACAAAACAAACTCGGAGCCTTTACACGCGCACACACACACTCCCTGAGTCAGGGCAAAAGTGGAGTGCCTGCGGTTTCCTGAGGAGAGGAAAAAAACTTACTTCCTCCCCCCCCCCAGTCTTCTGAGGGCCATCAGTCTGGAATGCAGGCTGTCGGCCAGTTCTTTTGTGTGTGTCAATCACCCCAGCCAAAGAATCACCCTCCCCCTCCCTCCTTCAGCATCCCTCTTTCCTAATGATGCAGGGAAAAGAAAAAAAAATTCCCACTTGGTTTTTTTAGAACAAGTAAACCTGTGACATACGGCTGGGGCTGGAGGGTGTATAGAGGATATTTGGAGGGGGCTCTGGCCCCGCGGCCTGGATGGGATGGGCAGATGCTGCTGGTCACACACTGCCCCCCATGCCAACGAGCCAGGAGTGTGTCTTTGTCCTGAGCAGGCTGCGTAGATCTGCACTGGCCCCCGGTGGCGGTGGCCCACACAGCCATTCCCAGGGCTGGCCCCACACCCAGCCCAGCCTCCAGGCCCTGGGACAGTGCTGCATCACCAGTGCTTGGGCTGCTGGTCCCTGCTCTGCCACTCGGGTACTTCACCTTGTGAAGGGCTGGGGTGGCTGCACTATTTGTGTGCTCCGGATTCAATGCTAAAAGCCTCAATTTTCAAAATCCTTATGAGCCCAGGCTGCCATGATTGCATGTGTTACCAGCTACAGTGTCCCCCTCTAGGTACATCCAGGTGGTCCAGCATGTGTACTCTACCACAGCTTTGCACTAAGTGCCCCTTAACTTGCTGGTTTTCCATGATAGTCCTTTCTCTCTTCCTCTGAGTTGCTTGCAGCAGAAGTAGCAGCATCCACTCTCTGTACCACTCTCTGTGTGATGCTGCATGTAGCTGTGTTTGAAATCAAGGTTTTCCAATAGACACCATTTTTTCAGAGGCCCAGCTTGCACCCCATTACTCTATTCCCTCCATTCTGTATTTTTGACAAAGTTCCCTGAATTGACTCTATATTAATTCCTTTCTTTTCCTACTTGTCATGCCCAATTTCTTTCTTCTCCACTCTGATGTTGCCTTCCAACACCTTGCTCACATTAGCCTTTTTTTGTGATGTTAAGACATCTCCTAGCACCCTGTGATCAGCTTACTCACAGGCTGTTCCCCACTTGTTTGGAGGTTTTTTAAATTGCTTTCCTAAACGATGCCCACCAGTTCCAGCCACCTCTTGAACTCTGGCCAGATTCTGGGGGTCACAAGCATCTTTTGGAGCAGTTGAAGCTCTCAGCATGGTCCCCAGGTCACTACCAGCCTTCCCCCATTGCAACCACTGCTTGCTATTCCTTGCTGACAAACTTCCTCTGCTTCCTGCAGTTCCCCTTTAAGGATGTTAACCAGATTGGATTTCTGATGGATTTCTCTGGCTCTCTCCCATCAGCCTTAGACTGCATTGCTGTCACTGCCCTAGAGGGACTCTTCAGTGACAACAGTGGGGTGCAGGTGTCACAAGCAGCACAGGGCTAAGCTGAGGATGCTTTTTCCCCCAGGTCTGAAGCCAGCAGCAGCCAGGGAGCAGCTATGTGCCTGGGAACCCTGGTGTACCCCCTTTGGTTTCCTTCAGTTTTGTCTCTGATACAGCTACTTCCACATATGAACTCTGGCACCCTGGTTCCAGCATCATGTTTTAGAGAAGCACAGGTATCTGCTCTTGCTCTGATTCCTTATTTTTATGTGCCTCGTTAAAGCAGTTCTTCACTGCTTCCCACGCAAATGTTGTCACCTCCCGTCCTAGTCTCTAGTGAAGACTCAGGGGTTTTATGATTCCAGCTCACAGATGAATCATCTTATCTTTAGCCGCACTGCTTGGTAGTGACCTCCAGCACCTCTGTCCTACCTCCGTCACATAGGTACCTCTGTGGTGTCCCACTCCCTGGGCACCTTCATAGACAGAAACCCCTTGAACCTGCAAGAGATTGCTCTGATAGCAAGTGAGAGCTGGTGCTTCTGCATCCAGTAGAAAAGAGCTAGTTTTTTTCTGTGTCAGCTTGCCCTCTTGTGCCTCACAGAGCTCTCCACTGAGGTTGAGTTGCAAGGTTTCATTTTTGGAGGCAGGTTGTTTAGGCTGCTTTGTTTTCCTGCTCTTTCAGCCCTTCTGGGGATTGCTGCTTATTCTGGGGCTAGGAGAATGATCCCACAGCCAAACTCTTTACCTTGTTGTACCTCTGTAAGGCAGAGCTCTTCACAGAGGCCCTCCACCTGCCTGCATCAACTAGTCCACACTCACCATGGGACACATGAGCTAAGCCTGGATGCTGGTCCAATGTCTCCACTTGCCATGGACACTGCAGATGGGATTCATATGTTCATGGTGCCACTCGAGATGCTCCAGGGCATCAGATACAACAAGGACCTATGGCTACCCTGTCAGGAACAAGGTGGGCTGCATTTCCCCTGGCACTCTGTCACTTGCACTTGTCCTTGGTCTCAGGTCTATATCTGGTTTTGCTCTTAGCCCATCTCCAGAGATCCAAGAGCCTCCCCGTCTTCCAAAAAATACATATGTTTACAATGAGCACTTTAAAGCCAGAAATACACTGCCAAACCTTCCCTATGTAGCTAAGACCTAAATCACTTAGAAGCAAGTTCAGAGTTAAATGCAATAAGCTGCTTAGGCTGATAGAAGAGCATTTGCAGAGAGGTATATCCACCAAGGTAAGGGAAACCTTTCACCTTCCCTGGCTTGGTTTATCTGCACACAAGCCCCTGGCTGTGCCAAGCCCAGCTGTACCAGAGTCCTGAGGAGCTGGAGCTCCCAGGATCCTGCAGACCAGCGTAGCTGGGTGCCAGGTCACGGAGGTGCATGCGTTCCCCCGCCTCCTCCACCAGTGAGGCCCCAGCAAGGAGGGGCCCTGGCCCCAGTCTCTCCTGGAGGGCCGGCAGGACCCTTGTCAGCCCAGGCTTCCCTGTGCGCCACAGGTTTTCCTGGGACCACTGCTGGGCTGCGGCCGTGAGGGGTCTGTGTCAGTCCGGGGCAGGGCGGAGGGGCAGGAGGAGGCCGTGGGGTGGGAGGTCGGCTGGAGGAGGGAGGGGGTGCAGGACGTGGCCCCAGGGCGGGAGCTGATGGGGACGGCAGGGAGCGGAGGGAGGCCCCGCCGGATTGGTGCCGCGGGGGCGGTCGTTGGTCATATGAGTGAATGTTATTGGAGGCAAGGAAGAAGCTGGCGGGCTGGCGCCGGCCCATCAGTGAGGGCGGGGGCCGCCGGCAGTCTCCGCGCCCTGCCGCACACACGGGAGGGGCAAGCGCCGTCGCCGCAGAGCCACCGCCGCCGGGCCGCGCCGGGCGTATGCGGCCGGGCCGGGGCGCGCCGCGCTGCCCTGCGCCCCTGGGGAGCCGCCGAGGTAAGCGGGACCCTGGGAGGGCGCGGGCGAGTCTGCCTGCAGGCCGGCGGACAGCGACCGCCCTGAGAGCCCGGCCGCGTGGGAAGGGGCTCTGGACAGGCGGGTCGGGGGCGCCCAGGGCACCCGAGGGGACCGGCCGGCGGGGCGGCCCACTGGGCCATCCCGGGGTTGGGCGTCCGTGCGGTGGTAGTGCCTGTGCTGATTCCAGGGGGCTTGGGTACCCCCAGTCTCTCCGGTAGGCTCGGGAAGGCCGTTGAGTGACAGGCGGGTGAGCCCCAGCCGTGTGGCGCGCTCCAGATGTGCCACATCCATGAGCATCTCCAAGCTCACCGGCCTCTGATCTCTTCCCCCTGAGAGGCACCTGTGTCTGGCAGCTTCAGGCTTAGCTGCCTCCCACAACATGCAAGGATGCTGCTGGGCCCAGAGATGCACGACTGTGCCGGACACCTGCTCCCTCAGCCAAAAAGCAGGAGTTCAGGTAGCTTGTGCTCAGGGCCCTGTGCCATCAGTTTCAGCACCAGGAGCATCCGTGTGCAGAGGTGACCATTAACTGTGCGGTCTCCATCCTGCTCTCAAGTGGCTTGCTCCATGGTCAAATGCCACCCACACACTGCCCACTGGATGACCAGGATGGTGTCCTGGTGCCCCTGCATGGCCCAGGTGTGGCTGAGGCGAGCTCTGCGTGGGCAGCCATCGTGCAGCACTGTGCCACACAGTCATCAGCCCAGCTTCATCCTCCATTTCATCCGGGGGGCTGGCTCCCCTCCAGAGCAGCTGCTGAGTTGTGCCTGGCGAGGCCCCGACTCTGTCCTCCCTCTCTGCCTCTGACAGCAGCTGCCTGCAGCTGTGCTTGGTCAGGGGGAGGGAGTCTGACAGTCCTGGTGCCATACAAGGCACGCAGGGTCCTTTTGGGGACGGTGCTTTGCTCTGCCCCAGCCCAGGAAAGCTGAGCATCCTGCCAAAATTGAGGGCCTGTTGCAGAGCTCCTTGTGTCCTGGAGCTGTGGGCTGGTGCTGCTTTTCCTTGCTTTCAGCTTATGGTGTTGGGGCAGGGTAGGCATGGGCAAACAGCTCTAGGCAAAGCTCTTGGAGAACACAAACCTGAAGGAAACTGAATATTGGGCTGATTTCTTCCCTCCCACCCCACAGGATAGCTAGGCTAAAAATAACCCTTCGTCTTGTGCTGTGCATGAGAATAAGGAGACTAAAAAGAACAGTCCTGGATCATAGCAGTTAAGGGCCTGCTTGGGTTAAATGCATAGTTGTGGTCTTATGTGCCTTGGGGGAAAAAATATAACCAGTGCCACTGGCTGGGAAGTCCCATGGAAAATAAGGCACATACCCTTCATGGTGGCAGAGACTAGCCAGTGAGATGAGCTACCAGAAGGGGCAGTGGCATCCGAAGTGCTTGAAGTGTCCCAAGTGTCCAGCCTGTCCCACTATGTGCAGCCTAGAAGCTGGGCTTCAGACATCATGGGCCACCGGGATGGCCTGGTCAGGAGTCTCAGGAGCACTTTGGCTAGAAGTCTGCAGGTTTGGAACAAACCAGGCACATAGGATGGTTGAAATCTATGAACGCCTCCCTCCCTTCTTTCAGCCATCCACAGCTGTTGGGGAGAGGGCAGCAGAAGGGGGCCCAAGGGTGGGGATAGGAAATCTCAGCAACTCCCTAACAACCCTGCTTGTTCCTCTGTGCAGGATGGTTCCCCCACCACCTGTCAGCAAGCCCCACGTGTGCCTCTCCACTGTGCTCATCATGACCAGCCTCGTCCTCATGGATGCCTACCTGGTGGAGCAGAGCCAGGGCTCCAGGAAGTTGGGCATCTGTGTCATGGTGGCAGTGGGTGACTTGTGCTTCCTGCTGGTCCTCCGCTATGTGGCCATCTGGGTCGGGGCAGAGGTAAAGACAGCTAAGCGGGGCTATGCCATGATCCTCTGGTTCCTGTATGTCTTCGTTCTGGAGATCAAAGTCTACTTTGTGTACCAGAATTATAAAGCTGACCGGAAAAGCTTGGACCTCATAGCTCGCAAAGCATTGACCTTGCTGCTCTCCATCTGCATCCCAGCCCTCTACGTGTTGTTGGTGGCCACGGAGCATATGGAGTATGTCAGAACATTCAAGAAGAAGGAAGATCTCCGCAACCGCCTCTTCTGGGTCATTGTGGACATGCTGGATGTGCTGGACATCCAGGCCAACCTGTGGGAGCCACAGAAGAAGGGGCTGCCGCTCTGGGCTGAGGGCATCATGTTCTTCTACTGCTACATCTTGCTCCTGGTCCTCCCGTGCGTGTCCCTGTGTGAGATCAGCATGCAGGGCATTGGCATCGTGCCGCACCGGATGATGCTGTACCCCATGCTGAGCATGCTCACTGTAAACATCACCACCATCTTCATCCGAGGCAGCAACATGGTCTTCTTCAGGGACGCCCGGGTCTCCAGCATCTTCATGGGCAAAAACATGCTTGCCATTGGGATGAAGGTCTGTATGTTTGTGCAGTACCAGCGGCACCAGCACCACACACCTTCGGGGCCAGACCTACAGCACAGTGACCCAGCCCAACTGCCCACGGTAGGGCTGCGCAAGTCCCGGGACCAGCCTGCCTGCCCCGAGGAGCTGGCCCGGGACAACACGTGACAAGCCAGCAGGAGCTACATCCTGGGCACCACCATGCCTGGCAGTACCGACAAACCAGAGGCCGCTGAGCTCCCCGCCTGGACAGAGGGCAACGACCCTGCTCCCTCCCTCCCTGGGCGAAGCTGCTCAGGGCCTCGAGGGTCGCATGGTGAGGGCCCCCTGTAGTGGCCTCCATAAGGCTGCAGAGCAGTTTGAGACCTCAGCACCCCACCAAGTGAAACAGGCAGCAGAGTAGAGGAGGAGGCCAGGGTTGCCTGCCAGGTGTTGTGTCTGGCTGGGGCCAGGCAGCCCTATCTTGTGCCAGGCTCCCCCACCAGTGCTCCCCATACAGCACGGCCCTCTGGCCAGGCAGGGCACCACACAGGGACACAGCAGGTCACCTGCTTTACTGTTGTGGATGGCCCTGGCTCCAGTGTGGTCCTTGGCAGCAACCTGCTCCCCACTGTGTAAGCCAAGGCCCCCATGCAGGAGGAGCAACGCCTGGACCTTCCCCTGCTGTCACCCCTCTCAGCCAGCTGCAGGCCTGGGGGGACCCAGAAAGGGGTGACTGTCCTTTTTTTGTATTATCTCCCTCTTTGCAATAAAAGACCTGAGCCCTGCAGCCTTCTCCTGTCTGTGTCCCTGGCAGCAGGCAGATCCCCCCACCACTCCTGTGTGTGCATGTCCCTTGTGTGCCTGTAAGTCCAGCTGCAGTGCATGTGGAGAGGCTTGCTCAGTGACTGCCTAGGCCTGGGGAGAGCATCCCAGATACCTGGCTCTGAACATTTGGGAGAGGAGAGGTGGGTCCTTGTGAGAGTCAAGTGGGCTCTGAGGGTGTCACTGGTGGGGTAGGTGTGGCAGCTTTGTCAGTCACCACTGCCTGTGCACAGCTGCAGTTACATCAACTGGTACCAGCCATGCTCAGGGACACCCATAGCAAGTCCCCACGCTTCACGTGGAGGGACACCAGTGCAGGTCTGGAAGGGACACACTGCCCGAATCACCTTAGAAACAAGGAAAATAACCCAACTGCTTGAGGCTGGGAGGCTACAGGAAAGAGCAGCTTCCTGGCAGTAGGAGGCTCCGTGGAGATGGTGGAAGCATCTCCTCTTGGAGCTGGTGTTGCCATGCTGCCGCCTGCCCAAATACCCAGTGACACCTCACTACTGGCTGCGTTGGGCAACGCCCAAGGACTTCCCCTGCTGCGGGGTGCTGGGCCCAGGAGCTGGCACGTACAGAGGCCAGCAGGCTCACTCCTCACTACTAACGTGCTGAGCAGAAGCAGGTGACATCCCAGCGAGGATGCTCTCCTTGCAGGCTGTGCTGGTTTTAAAAACTCAGCGGGGAGAAAAAAAGTTAAGACTGCTCAAGCCACCCCTTACGATGGTGGAGAGGGAAAACAAAAAAAGACTGCTAGAGGTTAAAAAACGTTAGTCTCACAATTTTACTGAGGTAAAACTCACAAATAACACAGCAATACAGAGGAAAAATAATGGTTTACCCACAAAACCAACAAAGGTAAAAAATTGTTACGTTCCCCCCCACACACCTAGGGCAAAACCAAAAGAAATGGTTCCCGTTCCCACTGCGCCGGCCCCGCGTGGTCCAGGGGAACAAAGAAAACAATGTGGCAAACGAATCCCCGCGGCCCGACGCCCTCCCCAGCCAGGCAAAAAACACGGGGGAAACACGAACAAAACAGAAACCTGGAAGACGATTTAGTCTGGAAGGAGTTACGCTGCCGAGATGCTGGCGTGGGTCCCGGCGTAGCGGCGGCGTGGGCGCAGGGGCCTCTTGGTTCCCTGCTGTGCGCCTGGAAAAAGCGGCGGTGGCAAAAACGCGTCGGCGGCTTTCAAAAGCGGGAAGCGGCGATCCGCTAAGGGATTGCGCAAACCCCGGGAGCGGCGTGCGGTCCAGGGCCGCCCCCTCCTTTTGAAGGTGCAGAAACTCCGCTTTCAGCAGCCGCGGCGGCTTCTCTCTGTACTGAGCAGCCACACAGTCTTGGGATCCCCGATCTTACATCCTCTCTCCACAGCCGGGATGTAGCAGGCGACGGCAGGCTGCAGGGTATCTCGGTGGCTGCGAAAATAGCTCCGGAGCGACTCCGGACCCGTCGGGACGGTGCCTTTCCCTCCCTTTGGAGGAGAAGCAGACGGCATTCCCGGTGGCACCGAGCAGCCATACGGTCTCTGGGATCCTAGACCTGCACCCTTTCTCCTCCGGAGCGCGCCACCAGCAGCCCTCACTTGAGCTTCCGACGTAGGACCATCTGAACTTCACCTGTCTCGGCGTGTTTATGGTGGAAACCACGCCCGCTCGCTGTGACGCGGGTATATTGAATATTCAACACTAAAGCTCCACCCCTTTGCTTTGTAAGCAAAGTAAGGCGTACAGGCCTCAGCAAGAAGATGCCCTTTGGCTCCAGAGGGGCAGGAGGGGAAAGCAAGACCACTTTGGGTCCACCAGACTTGCCACCTCCTGTACAGGACCTACAAGCGCCCTACATGGGGACACGTACTCAAATGCTGAGGAATGCCACATGGCTCCTTAGCAAGGCTGTGGCAGCAGGTCTCTAGCCAAGCTGGCACATCCCATTTCTACTGCCTTCCCCCAGTTACACTAAGACCTGTCAGCACAGCATCACCCACAGGAATTGCAGTGGAGGCAGGTGCTTTAGCAACACCCTCAGGCCAACGAGCTGCTCATTGTTCCATGTTTTGCTTATAGCAATGCCTGTCCCCTGGCCCCACACAACTGTGGCCCACCTGCACACAGCACAGCTGTGCCCAGGCAATGCCCTGTTCTGCAGAGCCAAGGCACTCTCCCAGCACCAGCTCCAACCTGTAAGACAGGGATCATCCAAGTCACCTCCTTATCAGCACAACCACAGCAGACAGGGGTAACCAGAGTAAGGAGAAACAAGAGAGCTGGTGTTCAAACATAATATTGGAGAGAGGCATTAACTCCCCTAAGTTCAAACACTTTTGACTGTAACAGCAACGACACTGGGAATAAAGGAAAACCAGTATTTTATTTCATACAGGATCAGCTTCCCAGAAGCACTAACAGCCCTGTGGAGACAACCATGAGAAGCCAAGGAGAGAGGCCAAGCTGCTCTGAAGGAGAGATCAGGAGTAGCAGCAGCTGAGCAGTCAGCAGCATGCCCTGTGACAGAGGAAGGCTAGCCACAGCTGGGTCTGCATCACTAGGTGCAGCCCATGCAGAGCAGTGTGATCCTCTTCCCTTTACTCAGCCCTTGTGAGACTACATCCAGATACTGCATCCAGGCTGGGCCACCAAAAGACAGATGGTTGTCTGGGCTGACTCCAGTTCAGTATGTGAAAGTCATCAGAGGCTGAAGCACTGCAAGGAAAGACTGAGGGAACAGGGTTTATTGACCCTTAAGAAGAACAGACTTTGCAGAGACCTTACAGCCCCTCTTTTCCACCCACCCCTCAGACCTGTGACAAGGTTACTGAAAGACAGCCGGGCACTTCAATGAGAACAAGACAATTATATGGATAGCACCAGGCAGGTTTCCTGGATGAGGGAACAAAAAGTTCCATCTTGAGAACCTGAAGCAGTAGAGCAGAGGCCAGGAGAGGTGGTGGCATCTCTCCTGGGACATTAACAGACCCCACCAACACATCCCATGGCAACCTGGTCTGAAGTCAGTGCCAGCCCTGCTTTGAACAGGTCCTTTTCCACCTCAGTGGAAGTCTGAGAAAACCTGGAGTAGAGCCAGCAATGCAGGGCAGGACTCATGCTTTCCTTGCTAGAGTTAGAAATGAGCAGGTGCAAGGACAAAAACAGCTGTCAACACTGTAAGCATCTGCACGACACACTTGTCACCACCCATGGTCTAAACCACAAGTTAAGAGGATATTTCAGCTACAAAAACCCCACTATTTCCTTCAGTTCAGCCTCTGCTCAGCTGCCTTACAGCATCACTGTGCAGTGGAAGGCAGATATTGGGAAGAAGGATAGCCATCTTCCAGGCCTGGCCAAGGCAGAATGAGTCCTAGTGCCAGACAACAGCACGTCTGTCCAACGTCACAAGTTCTTCTGTGAGGGTAGACGGCGCTTGTCTTTGATGGCATTTCTCTTCCTCTTCTTGTTCAGGAAGCTCTCCAGCTTTCCACTCCTCTTCAGCTCTGCATACTTCTCAGCTAGCTCCAATTTCCGCTTCTCAGCTGTAGAGGAGAGGGAAGCAAAGTTTTAAACCGAAGCGCAAAACACATCTACCGACCAGCCCGTCCTCACCTCCCTGGCTCCCAGGCTTAGCTTGCCCATTGAGCACCAGTACTAGAAAAATCCCTCCATGGCTCTGTGGAATAGTATGGACACCTCACTACAAGTGATTGAATTCCTGTCAGCAGTACTCCCTCTAGGTCTTCCTGCAGCATGTTCACACTGAATACTTACATTTCTTTAGGAAAAAGGGTTTCTTTCCCTGCTTGGCCAATTCCCTCTGTTGTCTCTTCAAAGACAGCTCTCTCTCCCTCAGCTTCTGCTGTTTTTTCTGTGCCTGTTCTTGCTGTGTCTGTACAAAAAAGATGGCCTGTGTCAGCATCGAGGCAGACCTCAGGTCACACATCCTCTCTTCCAGTGCCTCACAGAGAGACGCTGTGCTGAACTCACCATACGGTTCAGAAGCTGCTGAAGTTTCTCCTTCTGCTCCATGTTCCGGCATTTCTTCAGCTGCTTCTGAACCATCTAGAAGAGAGCAGAAAGCTGCATGACTGCCTGTCTGTCACCTCCACTGTGAAAAGCCTTGGAAGAAGTAGCCCCTGCCAAGCAAGGTTCTTCCAGGCAAGGACAGGCACAGAGCATCACCTCCTTCTCCTGCTTCTTGATGCTGTCCAGGAAGCTGTACGTCTTCATAAATATTTCAGGCTTATACTCTCCAGACAAGTCATCAAATCGAGGGTCTCTGTGGACCTGATGGCAAGGAAGGCAAAGGCAAGAGCTGTAGCCAGGATTATCCTATTAATAGCCTGCTTACTCTCCTTTCACAGATCAGACCTTGCCATTTTTTCACCAGCAATATTACACGCCCACCATTGAAACATCTGCATTTGGCTAAGACTGAGTGCGATGATTAAGGTGGCAGTCCCTCACAAAAGCAAGCCTGCATCCAGTCTACCAAACAACAGACATTTCCATATGCAAGTCTACACCCAGGAGTATCCAATTCAAGGAACAGGAGCAGGAGTGCTACCTCCAAACACCTGCAACTCCCAGACCAAGAGCTTGCTTAATATGTGTTGTCAAGGTGATGGATTTGGGAACTCAAACCTATCTAGATTTTCACAGATTAACTGGGTCAGGCCATAAAAAAAGGAGAGATAAAAAGAGATCTCTAACTGCAGAAATCAACATATTCAGATGATCCAGCAATAACAAGTCAAAGTTACATTCAGATTAGAAAGTAGATGGACATTTGAACTTCTGGGATTAGTACTGAACAGTGACTGTGGCTTGCAGTGGAATTGTCATTGGTGGGAGTCATTACATCTTCTAGAAACACTTTGGACACAAACACTGAAGTTAACCTGCAGCTGCTCCTGCACCCATCCCTTCTTCTCCCCAGGGAAACACTATCACTGTC